GGCATGCCTTCAGTAGGTGCTCTCATCTGGCCAGCGTCATTGCACTAACATATGAGCATTTTTCTCCTGTTGAGGAAACATAAACAGCTCTTTTTGCATGTGCCTTCTGCTACAGACATTAAAAAAAAAAAAAAAAGAATCAACCCCCTGGCCCCCACCTTTCCAGCAATACTTGGAAATCATGTCTTTTGTCCACATGACCTACTGCTGAAAAACGTTGCTGTGGTAGGCTCGGGCTTAGTCTGTCAGCACAGCACTAGCAATATCTTCAGATAGGCTGCTGGGATCTGCTCACTCGATAGAGATTGTTGCTCCAAATACTCTTAACAGCTTTCCCAGCTGCACGATAGAAATCTCCTTTCCCCCTCCCACTTTTTTGGAAAAGCACGCGTGGCAATCCACATCCCTCTGGCTGGGATACGCAGTTTGACGCTCCTCATTCTCGCAGTGCGATAACTCAGACAGGGAACTATTTGAGATCCACCAGACGACGGAAAAGTGGAAGGGGCGGAGGTGAGAGGAGGATTCAGGGCAGCCTCGAGTCATGGGAGTGACCTGCCCACCAGCCTGCCCCACTGGCAGGGGGGGAAAAAAACCCGCCGCCGCCGCAGCAGCAGCGATCTGTCTCGTGCGGAAACCATCGCCCCCATGTCACCATCCACACGGGAGCGTCACCCAGCAGGTTCACGTACCCCAGCGAAGGCTTCCCTCTCATCAAGTCGCGCTGGCGGTCTCTGCTGAAGCGGACACAGAAAGCTCTCAGATGGCTCATCCTCATCCCCCAGCCTTGGCCAGCTACTTCGGTTTGGGGAAGCCCTTCAAAGAACAACACGCTACCCCGATGTCCACACGGCCAGTTCATGCTCACTTCGCACCCGTCTGGCCCTGCCCAGCAGGCCTGGGCAGGCCCTCCGTTACTGCGTGGGCATTTCCCTGGAGCCAGGCAGCTCCAAGAGCTTCCAGCTCTGGTCCTGGCTGCAGCACGTGGTCAGCCTGCGTGTCACGTCCTTTCTTCCAAAATATTTCAAGACCCTTTTCAGAGAGGGCACCACAAAAGACAGGATAAAAAGTCTCTGAACATAGAACTCTTTTTCAATAAACCACCTATTTTCAAAGCCTTGATCAAAATTAGTTATAAACCTAACTGAAGAAACCGTTTTCATAGCACTTATGAATCAGTGCCATACAAGAGAGGCTTTCCCAGTCGTCAAGCTTGCTCTCCACAATGTAGCTACGACAATTCAAACCGACGGCCTGACCCCACTTCCTTCAACAGGCTCCTTCAATCAACCCGCCAGAGCTGCTCCGTCCAAGCCCAGCCTTCGGAGGCCGGCTTGGCTGCAACGCTCGCGCCCTTGGCACAGGAGGCACCGGGAGCCCGTGAGAACGCAGCGAGCCAGTACCGTCCCTGGCTCACCAAATAAGAGACCTAGCGGGGAGGTCCAGGTGTTTCTGCCCGGCGCTGCTCCAAGGCCAGCCCCGGCCCGACACAGCCCACGTCCCCAAGCCCTGGCACCTCCGCCAGCTGCTTCCCCGTTGGCAGAAGGGAAGTGAAGGAAATGGAGGAGAACTGGGGGAAGCCCAGCTGCTTTGGGGTGGTCAGAAAGAGTTCCAACAGGCAAGAAAATTTGCAGCTGCTGATCTCAAGTTGTATGATGAAAGGAAGGAAACCTGTTAATGAACTTTATCAAAGCAGGAACTTTTAAAAAAACACCATATGTCTGTTAAAAATTACATGAGGAAAAAAATAAAATGAAAAGGTACGCTCTCTTACTGTAAACTCTTGGCACACTTAACACTCTAGTCAAAAGGATAACATAACCATACATTTAACTTATCACTTCCCAATTACACACAAATTAATAACGCAAGAAAACTTGGTTCAGAGCTCCCCCTGCCATTAAAGTCAATAGGGAAAAATGAACACAATCATATATCATTCTTACAGCAGCTAATTGGGCATGGAACTGGCAGACTCTCGTGGCAAATGGTAAATAACACATATTATATAGGAAATGTGGCGTGTATATGACAAGTTAATTTGCTTCCCACTAACGGAAAAGGGCATTGAAGGAAAAACTTGGCCATTTATCTGAATACTAACATGCAGGTTTACCTTCACACGTACACCTCCCATTACATGCATCCATCATGTAGAAAATACTTACGTAGAACTATCAAATTTCAAAGTGGGCCAGTGTAAAAACGTGTGCATGTGTACATAGATATATGCATACATATACTTGTGCACAGGGGAGAATCTTACAGTTTAAATAAAATTCAGTGTGAATAAGCTGATACTGAAGTCTCAACGCTTACAAGAATAACAACTATATGTAAAACATTCTGAAAGACTAATATAGGGTTATCGCTACATCAAGGCTTTTTGAAATGTTTCAAGAATGATAAATACAGTTCATTGGCAATGTACAATTGCTTTTTCACGTAAAAATGAAGACAGTCACTACTAGAAAATTAGCTGCAGAGGGTTTTTTTGTTTGTTTTTTTAAACTTTAAAATGTTCTTAGCAGACTTTGAGTTTAAAAGAGGAAGGTTTTTCTCCTTCCCTACAAATGAAAAATCTCTGTGCTTCTAACCCGACCTTTACAATTCTTGAGCAACAGTCATTCACTCACAGCCCCACAGAAGACTTGGTATGGAGGAACGGAAGAAATTCAGACCTCAGAGCCAGAAAACTCAGCAAGCGCTTACTCACATATAATAATTTTTTTTTTTTTTTTAACTACACTAAGGAGAAAGAAAGTAAGACAAAAATTGCTGTGATAAAACGCTGGTCCTGTTGCACATTGATGTTGGGGTCTAATGAACTAAACGCTCCCTACTTTTCTCCAGTCCTAATAATGCACTTAGACATCTGACTTCTCTACTCTCTCCCCTGCAAGCAGAATGGGGACAGAAACCCCCCATGCGCTTTCCTGGCTGACACGGGAAGAACTTGCTGACCCTCACAGGCGCTCTTTGGAGTTGAAAGGCAAAGAAAAAGTCTTTAGTCAATTGGAAGCGATTTCTGACACAATTTTTTGACCTTCTTTTCCAATAGGTTAATTCAAGAAAAAGTTTAACTCAGTGCTTCAAGGATGAAGTTACTTTCCCGAGAACAAGAATCTTCTCCTTTGTATTTTATCATTGAAAATCCTCATGTAATGCACTGCCTCCAAAGGCAGAGGAACATTGCCAGAGCCACCATGCCAAATGCCGCAGGATCTGCCTTTGCGAGGGCTCCTCAGGCTCCCGCGGGTCGGTGTGACGCCCGCAGAGGAAGCGCACAGGAGCACGTTTTCGAACGGACGTAAGCAATTTGCAACCAGGCAAGCCCCATGTTCCCAAAAGCATCAACTTCTCCAAACCCTGGCCATGAGGTACAACGGCCCAAGACCACAGTTGAGCGCCGCAACCCCCGCCCAGCTCCCGCTCGCTGAGCGCATGACTACGCTCCTGGAGCCTTCATCCCCTGACAGCAAGCCTCAATGTGGAAAAAAATTTAAATTCAAGATAGCTTCCTAAAATAACATTCCCGGGTTGTTCCTGTTCTGCGTGCCACCAGACGGCCCCCCCTTCCAGACTGAGCAGGGGAACTACCCCATGCCGCAGGGGTGGCGTGGGCCAGCACCGCTAGTTGCAGGAGGGATGAGGAAGAGGAGTAGCGAGACATGACTTCAGGGCGCAACGCGGAAAGCCATGTCTGAATAATTCTTTGCATTTCCACCTAGGGTTGCTGAGTATTGTTGCCATTGCTCTGGTAAAAACGAGGCCAGCACTGTTTGCATAAATTTACAATGTCCTTAAACCAGGTATTCTGGACATAACCCACACCCACAGGTAACTTAGGGAGACAGGAGGCATTCAGGAAGGACTGTGGTGGAAAATAAAATGGTTACAACATTTCTGTCCAATGTGGCTCTATTCTGATTTGTTTGTTGGAAAGGGCAGGCAGTGTCAGCTGGAGGGATCACACCGCCCCAAGGCAGGACTACAGCCCTGACTTTCGAGTATTTGGCACAGAAGTGGAAATCCCAAACCCCAATCAGCACATTTAGCCCTCTCCTCCTGCAGAGGCAGCCCAGTACGCGCTCACAGCAATCAGCTCGCGACAGGGAAAAGGCCTCCCAGCTACCGGGCGCGAAGGAGCTGCCGTCGGCAATCTCACCTCTCCCCGCGCTCGAGCTGCCGTCGGCCAAGTGCTGGGGTCACAGTCCAAACTCTCCCTCGTCAAGAGGAGTGTCTCACTGAGCGGATGAAATACGGCATTTCAGATGCTGATTCATAGCAATTTTGGTGGCAGAACATCCAAACAAGTAAAGAAACTAAAACATGACTATTGCTCTGCAAGAAAGAAAATCATTTTTTCAAAGTTGGAAGAAATTAGCAGAATTTTGCCTCTGGTTAGAAAGACAGATAACCTGCATAACAGGATTCAGATATTTATTTTAAGCAACGGACAGCCTATACATGACCTCCAACTTCTAAATGGGAAAATTTCATCTTTACACTGAATCACCAAGAGATTCAGAGAGCAACAATTCTGGGAATATGCTGAGCTGGGTGTTTTTATTCCCCCTCCCACCATTCAATGCCAGACCTGAACCATTTGTGATGCATATAACCAGGGCAAGAAATTGTTCCTATTCAGCAGAGCTCATTTAAACTCATTGCTCAGAGGGGGGAAAATAAGTAAATCTCTGGCACCTACCACAAAGCAGAAACTATAAATTGTGTCCACACATAGAAAAGTTAAAAAAAATAAAATAAAAATCTCTTAGCAATATCTCACCTCAAATATTTAATAGAAAACCATTTAAAATTATTAAAAGTACTTCTCACGGAGACTGATGTAATACTAAACGGAAATAAATTAACATTTTCATTCCGCTAAACCAATGGAACGCAGAACTCACACACTGAGCAAAACCACGTAGGGATGCATTGGAAAGACAGCCTAAAACTCCCAAGCTTTAACTCAAACTTGTTTTTTTATTAAAGTATGAATGCATTTATGCTGAAGAATAGTTTACATACATTGTAAAGCAACAAGCATATTTTCAAGAGGTGTGGGCCCTCCTCAATATGTCTCCATGCTTATTCTACATGCTTGAACGTTGGACTCACACAAACACTCTCACACAAACATATATACCCACAAAACACAGACAGAGAGTTATCTGCTTCAATCAGCTTTCTTTTAAGGCTTCTGTAAGGTGCCCTAGTGCCCCTAACATTACCATGATTAAGAACAAAATTGTATAAAGGAGCAGCATTACTTGCAAACTGTTGATCTGCTCTTGGCCTTAAAAAATATCAAGTGAAACAAGTTTTTCCTTTTATTTGAGTTTTATTAAACATCGGCATGTAGGAAAGGCAGGACTCTCTATCTGCGAACAAGGGAAGGTATAGGGATCTTAACACGAGCTTTTCCACCAGAGCAAACGGTCAAACCTGACTCCAAAGGAGCATTTTTTTATTTTTTTTTTTTATCGTTACAGCAGTGCAGCTCCGGCTTTGCGACTAGGCGGCACCACCACCCCCTGCCCGGGCCGAGCGGCCAGCAACGCGGCGCACCACGGCGTTGAGGCTGCCACGCTCATACCACTTCAAACCTGAGGTCGATGAGAAATCACAGTTCAAATACTGACAGAGCCGAGCGTCCGAACGACATCGCTCAATTCTTACCAGTGGGCCCACTTCCTACGGAGCAAATCAGGGTTTGAAACTGCACAGGTAACGGTGCTGGTTCACTGGATGCCTCGCCATCACGGGCTTTTCTCCCACCCCTTTTTGGTATCCTGCAGTAGATAGTCTGAAACTGCAGCTACTGGTGCTGGGTGAAAGACGTGGCTGCAGGTATATTAAGGAAATAGGTACAATGAATAAAATAAAGGATAGCATATGATATAATGTGTAAATACAAGCATCTTTTTTTCTTTTTTTTAATCTGTGAAATGTGAATTAACTGCAGAATGCCAGGCCGTTAGTCTAAAAGGCTGCGTATGGCTGTTTTAGCCTACATAGGGTCAAAGGATTTTGCGATACATTGTGGAGAAAGGTTCTCCTGGACTCGTTAGGGCTTTCCTGTCCTACTCGCTCTTGGGTACCAGCATCAGCCCCTAGCTATGAATGCCAGAGCAGCAACTAATAAAATTGCCTGACTGCTTTTATAAGACAAATAGGAATGAATCTACTTTGTAGTATGCACCTGAACTATTGAGACGAGAAAAGGTCAGTGATGAGTGGGTGAGAGAGACTGGGGAAGAAAAAAGAAGCTTTTTCTCACGTTTACAACAGCAGCAGATTTCAAGGTAACGTAATTACTTTAATGATGCATATCTTTAGGTACTGAATTGCTCTTTTGATTTAAAAAGCTGGTCAGCCAAGTGTTTGGCAGTCTTTTCATTCCCCAGTTTCAACTGTTGCTTATTCATCTATCAACTCTCATTCCCTTGGCCGTTTCCGCCTTTGCTGAACTGTAAACGTGTTCAGTCAGCCATCGTCAGACTCGAACTCGTGAGACACTTCCTCTGATGAACTATTCCTGTGGATCCGGCCATCGCTTTTCATGCTGTGAAAAGTCTTCTTGAAGGCCTCCATCATGGCATGGGCCAGCTTCTTGGCCTCCAGCTTGCTCTCACACTCTACCGCATGGCAGTCCATCTGGTAGGACAAGTCATCGTTGATCTCCCTGTACACCCAAGCAAAGATGTTTGGGCTGACGTTGTGGTCAGCAGTGCAGTAGGCTATGCGTGCGACCTGAAAGGTATCCATGTGGACCGTTGCCTCACCTTTGAGGTCCAGGTGGTGCAGCCAGACTTGGAAAGGGCGAATTTCCAGCAGGGCATTCGCTGGGTAAACATCCTCCCTGGCAAGCGTATGCTTCTTCCATAGTTCGATGACCGGTTTCTCTGTGCAGCCTGACAAAAATTGCATCCCTGTTGTGGAAACCTTACCCAAATACGTCACCTGCAAAGAAGAGTAGAGAGAGGTGAAATACAGACAGTAGACTCTAGTGTTGCTTTTTTGCAGTCTTAGGGAACTTGGTCCTTTACCTGGGAAATAAAAGCAACATCCTTCCCAGACTTCCCTATTTCTCCCCCATCACCTTCAGAAAAGCAGTTTTCAAACTGGTTTCCAGGTATCTGCATCTTCAAGTGGTGACAAACCCAGATATTAAAAACGTTCAGTCTCTTTGAATCTCTCAGCATTTCACTCTCTCAGCCCCTCTGGAGATCCCAGCTTTAAAGCCCATAACTGCACCACCAAGCTTGTGTCAGGAAGTCTAAGTGCCAATGCCCTGTTAGGTGCCAGTGGACTAGACCCCAGGTAACTGCGCTGTTAACCATCGCTTTTTCTTTTCTACTGTATTCTAATGGCTTACTTGTATCATATTTCAAACAGTAATAATAGGGAGACTGAGACATTCTCTGTTTGACAGCATAAGGCTGCAGGGGATCAGAAATGCATGATCACAGCAGAGAATTTTAAACTATTTAAATGTATTTTCCAAAATGATCCTGTTTTTCCACCACATCCACTATTTCTACTGAAGTATTAAGCCAGGAATAACTCAAAACTGTTCAAAACTCTCTCTTCCCTTGTGAGCTGCAGGGCTGAGACATTACTTACATTGATTTAAGAAAATATGCTGTTAAAAAAATCTAGTATTAAACCCAGCTTAGTTTAATCACATCATCTCTTTGCTTTTATGTCTAGCTCTGTTGAGTAAATATCCTGTTAGCCAATCTGTACAGGAAAGCAATGAGTCTTGACTGCCATTGTCATATTTTGTTCACCAAAAGTTAAATTCACTGAAAAGCCCATATCAAAATGCCATATGAATCCCATGGAGAAACATTCCCCTGCGGCCACACAGCTTGCAAAGAGACATTCTTCCTCTACACTTGAATGGAAGATTATTTTATCTGGCAAAAGAGAGATTTTCTCTAAAAAAGATAGATCAGCAACTAAACAAATACAATTATGCAGATGATTCTATTTATTGCTGTTGTCAGAACGCTGCATTTAAGAGCAAATACATGAAAGCAAAATTACTTCTACTTTGTCTCTTGCAGCAGTAACTGCGTGAGAGAGACTCCTAGGCCTCCTGCTCAGTCTCTTATGATCTCACGGGCACTTACTGAAGGTTATACATTTGCTTTTCAAAATAATTTCTTCAAAATGCAGTGTTAAATACATGGTGTACAGTTATTTTTCTCTTTGATGTGCATTTAGAAATGTAAAGAAAAATATGAGATTTCCAGATGTTTAAACATTTTTAAAATCTTATCCACAAAGAATATAAGTTTTTCATTTCACACAAACAAAATTTTCACCAGAAAAATATTTTGCTGCAATCATCATAGGTTTTGTTAAACTCAGAGACCTAAATTAAACCATACTTAGGAATAGGCTTACAAAACATTACTTGGAAGTCCATGTAGCTTAACATGCCAGCCAAGAAAGCAGTTTCATAGCACTGACATTTCAAAATAGGAAGTCTTATTCTTTGCCTATAAATACTCATGCTTTGCATGGGGAATATTTTAAATCTTATAAAGCTTTATGTTTTTTCAACAGTGTGAACCACAACAGCTAGAACAGTTAACAATGCAAGACCTACCAGTGTTTTGTTTTATTTTATTAGTGATGAGAGCTGAAGTTCCCTCAAGTGCTGCAGAATAACTTAAAGGAAAGCCTCAGGGCTCATAATGCGAACCGAGCATATACAAACAGCACAGAAAAGCCCAAGCATGTCTGCAAGCACACCGTGGGGTAGTTCAACATACACTCGCAGTCACATTGTTCTGAAAACAGCAAGATCAGTGAGCCAGTCTCCATGTTCGCAGCTATTCAACATATTCTCCAAAGGTTCAGTCAGGACCATTGCATATATGCAATTCAGCTAATAAAAGGCTAGAGCACACACTGCAAATTAATTGCGCGCTTTGGGCCGGATTCAAAGCCCCCTGCAATAGGAGAAGTCCTTCACTGACTTCAAAGGGATTTGTGCAAAGCCTTTTAAACCCCGAGGAAAAGAGAATTAGCCTCTCGCTCACGCGCTTTGTCACTGCCCAAACACGACTTCGAATCCCAGGCTGGGAGAGATGCTGCCACCGCGGCAGCATTTGCCCTCCCCAGTGGCTGTTCAGAGCACACGGGTACTGCTTGGGACTGCAAAGAAATGCAAATAAACATCTATCACCTGTGCAAAGCCCAAATCCCTGCAAATGCAAGGTATTATTTCATTACTGGCTTGTCTGCAAGAGGAAGACATTCCCAGCACAAGAGCTGCCCGGCTCACCGGCGTGCGGAGGGGAAAGGGAGGAAAGCTCGGCACATCCCCAACGGCACATAAAGCCCTTGCGAGGCCGTGGCAGCACAGACATTAGCAAGGGTCCTCACAGGCAGGTAGCGCAGCTGAGCTTGACGCTGCACATCCACCCCCAGCACCCCGACCTCTCCATGCGGACAACTACAGAGCGACGCTCAGGACAGCTGTAGCAGCAGAGGGCTGGAGCTGGTTGTCACACGGGAGCACAAACTGAATTTGATGTTCTCTCCTACAAATAAAGTTATTAGATGAAGAAGAGTGATGAATTACTCTGAAAACCAGAAAGCGGCTGAGACAAAAATAACTAATAAGAAGAATGGGATGATGGCTTGTTTACCAAAATGGGACTGAATAGTCTGACTTACTGTCCCAATTCTGCCAGAGTCTAACTGTGTGGAAACCTTTGGAAAGTTGCTTCCTTGAACAGCACTTTGGATCTCCGTTACATACATTCGTTTTCCTGAGGATACATTCATCAGTATTTGTAAGGTGCTTAGACATTTCAGGGAGTCCACAGCAGATAGATTATATAAGCAAAACATCTCTTCTAGAGTTTCTTCTGTACTACGTGTGCCACGTGGAAACATCAACATCTACTAATGTTAGGTTTTTTTAAACAGATAATCAAATATTTCCTACTTGAGATACAAGCATTTTGGAAAAGCAGCTCTCCTGAACCTCTTAGTTGAGACAGACATCTAGCATTTCATTGCTTGAAGGTCCCCTGCAAGGTACAGAACAGGGACGCAGAGCGCCGGCAGGAGTTCTTGAATACTTGACACAAAAAAGCCACCATGCCTTTCAGAACAACGATTTCTTCATGGTTCAGTATTAGCTACGTGTTATATGTCATACACTAATCCACCTAGAACTGGCTAATTTAGTTAGCAGCATGTGCATAATTGCAGGTACTTCACCAGCATAAACTGAAACTGGCAACAGATGGATTTGCCGAGCGGCTCTCGCTGGGCTCTCAGTCCCAAGGTTACCCCACACGTAACGCTGCCGGCACTTTGGCTCCTACTCCCATCGAGTCTCACTCATACCTGCCCTTAAAGGAACTATCTTATTTAAATGCACAGAAATCGCTGACCACACGCTCATTAGAGTAAAGCTATTAAGGTCCACAACCATTTTGCTTTCCAACTTCAAGTTCACCAAAGAACAGATTATTCCTGCCTTTGTCCTCCTCCCCCTGCCATGCCACTGCTGCCAAACGTACATATGACATGCAATACAGCTGTGGTTTCAGCACTTCTGTGCTTGCGAAAACTCAAAGCTTTAGCAAAAGCCAAGATGCTCTGAAAAATCCCTTATTTTGCCCTAGAGACTAGCCAACACCAACGTCAGTATCTGACTAAAGTGCCCTCAGTGGGAAACACGGTGCCTTTTGCCCTTTTGTAACGTAGCTGCAGCTAGCTGACACATGAAGATGCTTCGTGTCAAAGCACATGAAGATTAATCGATGTCATCTGTCGTGTCCAGGACCAGGCGTACAAAGGCACACTGCTGTTTTAAACCATTTCCGTCCAGTAAAGTATAGAGAAAATATACGTTTTACTAACTGCGCTTGATAGCTTACACACTTTGAAAAGACCAGTGTAGCAGCTGCCATAGAAATTTTCACTTTTAGCGCAGCCCAATTTGTCAGATGTAATAAGGGAGATTTATTTTCTGTGCTCTAAATTCTTTTCTTCGTAATTGACTTCACATTGTTTGCTGTCAGCGCATTATAAGATGCAGAAGAGCTCACAGCTCCTGCCAGCGTCCAAGTGCAAAACCCTGAGGACCCGACCACGCCACGAGCGCCCTCAGACCCGACTCCCCTCCGCAGGCAGCGGCGGTCGCACTGACCGGACAGACCCCAGGGCAAACCCGCTCCCGACTCTGGAGCCTCAACTAGGCACACCGGGTGGGTGGCACAATTTCTTTGTCTCCCTCTGTTCTCCATCCCCACTCCCTAGGTTATCACTGCTCAAGGAAACCAGAGCCAGCTTGAAAAGAGGCGTAATTACTGCCTCACGCAAGGGCAGATGCTCTCCTGGCACAGGAGTTCGGCACAGGAACACGTACGCGCACAGGACCCTGCACTCGCTCACTTCTCAAGAAGATCAAAGGATCACGTGGAAAATGAACTGCTTAGTTATTTTAGTAATGCGTTTATTCCTTCCACAACAGATACCAGAGGTCATTCCCAAAATTAGCCAATAAACGGAGCTAATGCAGAAAACGGAAAAAATTAAAACCAACAGAGCACTAAACCTGAGCCATCAACAGCTTGCCCTGCATATTTACAGTCACCAAAGTCCAGGCCCTGCTGAAAAATATCAGCTATATTCTTCTCCCAGGCAGCACAACCACAGCACGTTACAACACCAAAGCCAGGCGTCCGGGCTCCCGCAAGGCTGGCTCCAGAGAGCCGTCACAGGAGCACGGCTCGCTCTGCAAGCCGGGAAAGGAAGGTGAAACCCGGCTGAGAAGCTGAGACTCCCTTAGAGGATCTTTAATCTCAAGCAGAATCTTAGTAGTGGGCGACACCGTCTCTTTTGTCAAGCTGTGTTTTTATTCTTTTAGTCTCAAATCTTGTCTAGTTGCAGCTGATGTTTGATCTGAAGCAGTAAGATATGCCACG